ATGCAAAAATTGACCAAAATCATATAGGTTGGATTGCCTTAAACCAATGAACACCCAAGACATGTATACCCACAAAGAGAGAAATAGACAAGCAAAACCCTATTATTTTACCCTCAAATAATAATAATCCAATTGAAATTATTAATAGAGAACACATCCAGCATAAGAAGTTAGTTACCTCGTTTACCAGTCATTGATCAAAATGGTGGTGCTCTTTTTTTTCTCCTCGATGAAATCTTACATACAGTCATAGACACCCAGCTCACTTAGATGATTGAAACAATGGCAATCATGAGGTAATGAGAATTACCCTACCTTGATCACCAATCATGAATATGTAGCAATCATGAAATTGATAAACAATCATAGATCATTTTGTTAAAAATAAAAATGTCAGATAAGTTTTTAGAAATTAAATAATTATTATTATATTTTATAGTATTTAACTGTCATTTGAATATTTTGAAGATATTTTGTTATTACTCTTTCGTCCTTTTACTTTAATAATAATTGATCTTTACAAAAAAGAAAAACAACCATAATATGCAAATGTAGGAAACTACAGCCATAGAACTTAATTAAATTAAGTATTAGGAGTTATTTTTGTCCCCAAACTTTTCACGAAGGGTTTGTGGGTGTCTTGATGTAATGTTTTATAAATTTAAACTAAGGGTTTAGAATAACCTAGGAATTAATTAGGGTTTATTATGGGGTTAAGATTTAAGGTTTAAAAATTGAAATTTAGAGTAGAAATTATGTTTCTAGTCAAGTTTTCTTGCAGATGAAATACAACATGGTGTTTTTGCTTGAACATGGAATTGTGACTATGGTATTATGTGCTTTAGTTGTGAATCTGATTGCCAAAGTTTCCCATTTTCCTTAACTTTGATTAATTGATTTTCATGTGTGTGATTTAGACTACCTTGATAATTGAGTGGTTATTCTAATCCTTCATTTAACATTTTACAGGTACTAGTTTTGAGCAAGAAAAAGGGAAAGGACTTGAGATTTAGAAATTTTGTTTCTTACTGTATGCCTCTTATATTTTGATTAAGGGTTAACAGTCATTTTTATTCCTAAACTGTACACAAAAGATCATGAATACCCCTAAACTCAACTATAGGTCAATTATGTCCCTTAACTTTGAAGATTCCCTTCATCATCACCCTAACATTAAAAATACTTAACACCTGTTAGTCATTAGTGGGTCCAATTAATTTTTTAATATTTTTTATCAAGTTAAGGGTCATTTTTGTCCCTCAATTCAAATATTTTATAATAAAAATATTAAAAAAATATAATATGAGGCTCACTAATGGTCAACTAACAGTGAGAAAATAGTAGGGTGATAAGGCAAGGAATCTTTAAAGTTAAGGGACAGAATTAACATATAATTGAGTTTAAGGGTATTTGTTATCTTTTATATACAATTCAGGAAAAAGAATAACCTTTAGCCCTTTTGTTAAATATGTGTATTACATTTGATATTGCCATTTAGGGTCATATTCTGAATATACTTGCACCACTTGCATGTTTATCCTGGTTGGTTGTATTTTGGGCCCTAGGTAATGTGTTCAATGGAATAGTTTATATATAGAGCTAAAATACTAGTGCAAGTATGTAAATGATTATTTTGGGATATAATATTGAAAAACGTCCCTATGCTATTTTTATGAAATCATGGGTTGAGGGATGCAATTGAGATATATGTTGTATTTGATTGTTATGGTGTGTTTCCACCACAACCAAAGATATATATATAGGCACAGTTTACTTTTGTCAATAGCCATAATTTGCAATCGTGGAGGAGTCCCTTTTCAACAATTGTCAAAAAATGTGGCTATATCATTTGTGGCTAGAAACGTGGGTGCAGCCATGATTTGGACAAAAAATTCTAGCCATAGTTTTTTTTTTTAAAGATTCCCCATGATTTAAGAAAAATTGTGGCAAATTACCGTCGCTATTGTAGTTTTTTTTGCACAAGTTGTTGTAAATCTCTTGAATGTGGTTTAGGTGTTAAGTTGAGCTTTTAACACTTGGATTGAGTTTTGGATACCTTTGTTGTGAAAATGTGACTAGTTTGGATTTCAGTGTCTAACTTCTTACTATGAAAAAGTTTGGAAATGAAATTAATATAATTAGCTAGTTCTCTAAATAAACTTTCTGTGGACACCTAAATCAATTAATTGGACATTGGATGGAGGTTTGAGACATGCTAAAAGCTTGACCCCTCAATTGTATTTGACAACAAATTGCTGTCAGCAATTCTATGCAAGCGCACTGTGGCATATAGTACATAAAATAGTTAGATGTGACACATCATTCCTTAGCCGTAACTAACTGTTCATTTGGTGGGTGTTTGATATTTTTGACTCAAATGCTTTCAAGTTTAATTAGTATCTCATGCTTTCATATGATTTATACCTCTGATATAAACTTTTTTTTTGCTTAAACATAGTGTAATCAATTTACAAAACTCTGGATTCCATCTTTATTACTATTATGTATTAAATTGGGTTGTAATTGATTGAGTTTAATTCACTTAGTTTTAAATTGTTCTACTATGGTAGAATTTATTCCACCATAGTAGTTTGTATTAAAAATCATAAATTGTTTGGTTTCTAATAATTTAATTCCATAGTAGACTTTTGTAATAAGTCTTTTTCTTTCTACTTGTATGCCACATCAGTAAAAAGCATAGGACTCATTGAGCATAAAACAGAAATTGGAAGGCACATTAATTGTGGGATAATGAAGTAGGTGATCTTAAACATTCAGGAACAAAGATAACTCAAAATCGAGCTCAAAACATCCACAGACTTTCTAGAAAAAGTTTGAGGACAAAAATAATCCTTAAGGCTTAATTTAAATTAAATTGATTATTGTATGGGAAGAAAGATAGGATGAAGAATCTGAAATGAGAAAATGTAGATGACAAGTAAAGATGTCATAAGAAAAGTAATGCCAAATCAATTTTTACTAAAGATTTATATACTTCAACATAGATAAAAGAACACTGAATTTGAAAACCTTAGCTGTGAAGATATCATGATGATATTAATATTTTTATAAGATACTTGTTTATCAATATCTATGGAAGGCGGATAGTTTAAGCACATGCGGGGATGTACCAAGGTCTAAGAAATATTATGCATGTGAAGTGAAGTCGTCCTCATAGTTCATGCCCAAGAAAAATAAAAGCAACCCATATTTTCTTGAGCTTTCTTTCTGTTTGAAATCTCCACATCACTTTATGGACAATGAGTTATATATATATATATATACATACTTATTCTTCTTTTTTTTGAAAAAAACTTGGGCCCATGCCCCACACCTAGTATACAACAGAAATAGAAGCGAATCCACCTCATACTAAAATATAACAGTCCATCAAAAATCGAGACTTTTCAGCTTGTACCCACCAAACCAAGAGTTGGCCTATTTTTTCATCTCTATTTTAGTGGCAAGGTTAACTTATATCTAAATCTACATATATATATATATATATATATAGATTCCTAATCTTTTTTTTTCAAAAAAAAACCATTTTTTTTAATAATCTATAGAACAAGTTTGATATAGGTGGATTTAATTACAAATGAAATGAATGTGCTTTTTAGTAATGGAGTTCTGCAAGTTTTATATCCAGCGTAATGGACGCGAATCCTTTCCTCATTTGTTCTCTCTTTATCTTCTCTTCACCTCATCCATACCCTGAATTTAAAATTTAACTCACTGTTTTCAGCAGTTTTTCTTGGCAAATTTCAACATTCACATTTGTCTTTGTGTAATTTATATAGTGCGGTTGTGAAAAGTTTAAAATTCGTCATCTTTAACTTCATTTTAATTTCGACCAAAAAAAAAACTTCATTTTAATTAATCAACGCCCTTACAGGGTCTGCCATTTTCCCTTGTCTCTAGGAGAAAGGAGTCGTCACTCAAGCCGCCCGGACGACCCCAGCCAGGATAAGATGCAATCTAATGGTCGGCATCACTTGAACATTATAAAATAATGGACCAATTAATAATAAAATAATATTAAGATTGTTATTATTATGATGACTTATTAAATGAAAATATTCGACTGCCATAATGGTGATAAAAACATGTAAACAGAATGTAAGTTGAAATGATGGAAAGAAATATCTTGAGAGGAATGTGGGAGGGCCGTCCTCCCCCTGCACCGCAAAACGTTCCAGAGCCACACAAATGTTTTTTTAAAAATTAATCAGTTCATCATGCATGATGATGCTAATTAATTAAAAATCATGTTGAAAGATGACTTTGAAGTTTCAAGTGCCATAGGGTACGGTTAATTGGCTAATGTGCGTATGTTAGTTGCCAAGTGCTAAGTATAAGTAATTTAATTAATTAATTAAATACATTATCATAAACATACATGCTAGGCGTAGAAAACCAGTCAGCATAAGTTGTCCGGATGTGAATTTAGCGCAATTTAATCGGGTCAACGGGTCGGATGACGCATCATGCAATGGGGGCGCACTCGTGGTCCAATCAAGAGCTGATGTTTGGTGGAGCTGAGCTTTCAGTTAATAGTGGTCAACTTAACCCGTTAACCCAAACAATAGAGGTCCTCGTTTAGTTAGTAGTTATAAATAGAATGAAAATAATTAAAAAAATTAAAATAAAAATAAACTAAGTCACTCTTTTTTTATAGAAAGCATGATAAATTTTTTAATATATATTATAGATATAAAAATTATCATTCCCTTAAAAAATTTTATAAATTATTATTTTCAACTTTATAAACTAATTACCCTTTTCATTTATAAACAATGCATTCATCTATCTCTTTTAATTATTTGATTTTTACTTTTATTTTTTAATTTATTCTATTCTAATTCTTTTTAATAACCAAATGGGGCTTGTGATTTTTTTTAAAAAAATATTTATTTATTTTTCATGTACTTGTAACTGGCTCATGTTTACATTGTCATCCGTAGCCAACTTGAAGCATTATATTAGAAGAGTTGAGTAGGGGGATTTTCTAACGCCTTCGAAAAGTTGATAGAATAGATCGGGAAATTATTTTGGTAATTAATTATCTCTCTCTCTCTCTCTCTCTCTCTCTAGATCTACAATAGAAAGGCTGGAAATCCTGAGTTTGGCAATGACAAAGGTCCACCCAAACGCGGCTGCCGCCGCTTCCACCTCTTCCAATCATGAAAAGACATCCTCCATAGATGACGAGGTTCCGGTGGCGCTCACAGTTTGGAAGAAGTCTCTTCTACTCAACTGCAACGGATTCACGGTGTTCGACTGCCAAGGCAATCTCGTTTTTAGGGTCGATAACTACTCCGCCCAAAGTAAGGACGAGATCCTCCTCATGGATGCTGCAGGAACTCCGCTCCTCACCATCCGCCGCAAGGTATCATATTATATTCCTATACCTCTGTCAGTCTCTCTGCCTTCATTTATTCTTTATCATCAGTTATCACCACTTTAGCGACATCGATTACGAATGGAGGAGCGCGTCGTTGACCACCATCCTTTTCTCTTTTGAAGTTGATTTTCATGCCTATTATAAACTACTCGTACATGCAGAGGCTGGGTTTGGCAGACAAATGGCTAGTGTTCGAAGGAGAGAGCGGAGTGAAACCTCGATACTCGGCAAAGAAGCAGGTGAATCTGCTGAACGCAAAGTTCCTGGCCCGGGTGATGAGCTTGTCGTCGTCGAGCAAGTACGACATAGAGGGATCATACACGCAACGTTGCTGCGGGGTGTACGACGAGAAACGGAGGAGGGTGGTGGAGATAAAGAAGAAGGAAGCTGCGGTGGGAGGAGTGGCTTTTGGGGCTGACGTCTTCCGTCTCATCGTTCACCCCAATACGGACTCCACCCTCGCCATGGCTTTCGTCATCCTTCTTGATCAAATGTTCGGCTCTTCCTCTTCTTAACACGCACTTGATGGATAATAACTATATATGTTCCAACACCACCAGCTTCCCATCAATATTAAAATTTTCCCGCTTTGTTTACTTTCCCTTTTTTTTATATATATTTATATATTAAAGATCCACTCCCCACGCAGCACGAAGGCCAATATCCATCCGTCCTTCACCGGTTCGCCCTACTTCTTCGTTTTATATAAGGAGTGGCCGTCGTTGTCTTCCCATTATATATTTTTCCCTTCAAATATTTCATCTCCTCCAGTGCCAAGTATATGCATAAATGTCCGAGCTTGGTCCTTTTTTCCTTTCATTTAAAATTCCAAGCTCCGGCAAACACCCTATATGCACATACATTGCGTGTGGGTGCTGTGTGTATTCTTCTCAAGAAGAACAACACCAGAATCAATAAAGAAAACATGAATACTGCTTTTCTCCTGTCATTTTTAAAATTTCAATTGTGTTACAACTTCTGACTTTTTTGTCGTCCGTTGGAATATATTTCAATTTAGACACAGACATTTTCTTTCTGAAATCCATCCAAGTGTATATACTTTTTCTTTGGACTATCTAATATCTGATATGGATCTCTGTCCCTAATTTTGTTTCTAATATGATACATCTAATAAGAATTTTAAGGGAAATGAGAAACAAGTTATACCAAAAAAAATATCATTTCTTATTCATCTCAGACCGATTTATTTAAAATTAGAGAGAGATTTTTTATCTTCAATTTTATCTCATTTTTTATAATAAAAAATAATATAGATATATAGGAATAAAATATTGTCGCCTCAATTCAAAAGCGATGCTTGTTTGTAAATTGATGTGAAGGAGGATGCAACACTCCAAATGATCGGATTAATCCTCTAAATTTGATATTAGTGAATTTACGTGAAGTTTTCTTTTTTAAGAAAGAGGAAAAAGGTTTTATATTTTATAAAATAAAATAAAAATACTAAATGAAGAAAACTTCACCCAAATTCATCAATTTCAACTTCAGGGGAATTTGAATACCCAAAGACCCAAAGCAAATTTTCTTAGTTGAGATGCATGAATAATTCATGTGAAGTTTTTCCTCTTTTTATATTTTCTCTCATTTTATTATTTTTTAAATATAAAATCTTCTTTCTTTTAAAATTAATAATTTTCATAAATTTTGTTGATTTCCAATTCAAAAGATCAATCCTTTCAGACCTACGTGAATATATATATATATATATATATATACACACACGAATCTCACATTTTGTTAACATAATGAAACGTACACTTCGAAATATTTATTGTTTTTACCAATTCAAATTACAAGCAAGAAGATTTAGATGTTATTTGGTTTTGTTCTATTTTTTCTTTTTGAAAATTATTTTGTAAATTAATTTTAAAAAAATTTCAAAACGAAATAAAATTTTTTGGTTAAATTAATTTGAAAACAATTTTAGATTTTAAAAAAGGGCCAATAGTGGTTGGTTGCCAATGATTAATTGTAATGATTTATAATAATGGTTGGTCATATATGAAGCTAATTTACAATGTGTCTGCGGTGGTTTTGCACAGGCATACCAGTGCAGCATGTACTCTAATGGTGCAAAAAATACCTGACTTGTTAAATTAAACAATGAGTTCTCAAGGTATTTTATTATAATTTATTTAAAAGTAAAGAAGTAAAAGAAATAGAGATGGAGAGAAATGGAAGACTTGCATAGCAAGAGTAGTCATGATTTTGACAATGATAAAGGAAAAATTATTAAAAAAAATATAAAATGAAAGGCTAAAGAAAAGCACCAAATCACTGTTACTACTGCGAGCCAACTCTTTTTAACCAAAATTTCAAGTAGTGGTTTTGCTTGAGAAGTTGACTCATTTTTAATGAAGGGTTTAGGGTTTAATCCCAAAAGCATGGAGTTCACATCTAGCTCATTAGCATTAGAGAGTTGGGTGCTCTTAGGGAGATAACCCATAGGCTCTTCCTTCATAAATGGCTCCAAAAACTTATTGGCCTCTAGTTCTTTGTTTTTAACTTGTTCTAAAGGCCCAAAGTTGGACTCTAGTTCATTGCCTTTGTAAAGATAATCCTTAAAGCTATCAGAAGAGTACTCCTCGAGATCTTCAGATAAGACTAATTCCAAAGGCCTAAAGTTAGCCTCTAGCTCCTCATCCTCAAAGCTCATCCTCAAAGCTATAAAAGGAGTGTCCCTAAGCTCTTTGAACATGCTTGGTTCAAAAGGCCAAGAGTCGACCTCTGGCTCATCATCCTCATAGAGCTCATCCACAAAGCTGTTAAAAGAATGCTCGTAAGCTCTTTAGATAGGCTTGGTTCTAAACGTCATGAGTTGGCCTCAAGCTCATCGTCCTCATCCTTAGAACTATTAGAAGAGTACCCCCCCCAAGCTCTTCAGATAGGACTGGCTCTAACATTTAAAAGTTGGGTTTTGGCTCATTATCCTTGTAGAGTTTTTCCTCAAAGCTATTGGAAGAGTGCCCCCTAAACTCTTTAAATACGCTCTTAATGAACTTAAGGTATTTATCTAAAAACGTGATCTATCACCTTAATAAAAGGATCTTGGACCTTTAATTGAAACTCTATGTTACTTCATGTAATGTCTATCTTGACATTATTAAAACACACCACACAACACTACCATGGCAACTAGGATTAAGTAAATTCTTATATCAAATCATCACAATAGAAAAGGGTTAAATTTCAAAAGGTAATAAAACTTGGGATCTTGAGAAAACCCTTTTTCAAAAGTGTTTGAGCTCAAATAAGAGTTTCAAATATTAAAAAAAATTACAAAAGCATGATAAAGTTCATACGTCAAAAGAGGAAAAATTGGACAAGGTCCAACATACTTCATCCACTATGGCACATATGTCATCCACCATGATAGATGGCACAAAGGAGAAATTCCCCTCACTATGACTTGCACTAAAGCACCCTTACTATTATGACAACACTCTAGGACCAACTTCCAAAATGCGCCATTTTGTCATTCAATATCCCATTCAAGTGATTCAAGTGTCCTATGTAGCTCATTAAGACACCCAACTATTAGCATTTGTTTCACAACAAATTACTTTACCATTTAAAAATTTGATGCCCAAGTGTTAAAAGTTTACTTTTTCATTTCAAAACATGCCAAATGTAATGTCTGCTTTGACATTACCAGAACAACACTTACACACTGTTGTAATAATTAGGATTAAATAATATCTTATAAAGAAGTTACTACAACTCAAGGGTTTAAAAGATAATTAGTTTTAAAGCAATGGGGTCCTAAGAAAATCCTTTTTAAAATAGTGTTTAAGCTCTAACCAAGGTTAAAAATCAAATTAAAACTAATACGAAAGCATGGAATCGAATCACTTCAAAACAGGTTGAAATAAGCCTTTTGCAGCAGTTTAAGCCACGCCCGCCGTGGTGGATGGCACAAAGGGATGAGTCCCTTGAAGCCCATTTGTGCCGCGACGTACATCTACTGTCAAGACAGCAGATTACTATTATGACAGCCCTCTGAACTTTCGGCCCATACTATTTCACCATCCGATGTCTGATTTGAACGGTTCAAGTGTCTACACAAAACTCTTTAAACCCTCTAGCCAATGACACTAGTTTTACACTCAAATAACTATCTTTTTAAAAGATAGATACCTGAATCTAAAATGGTTCGTTTTCACCTCAAAACATACACAAAGGTGTCCAACTCACAATACCAAATGCCATTAGCCCCAGAGATACTTTGACCACCTTAAATAGACCACACACAACATGAAAATTCATTCCTATTACACAAACAAGCAATTACACTCAAAATGACCACCAAACCCCTATTTGATAATAACACAAAGGGGTGGATTGTATTTAGCACACACATCAAGTTGGTCAATTTAGACACATAATTCATTTCAAATTCATCACTTGTAATTGTAATTTGGCCCAACACACACAAATAATCTATCACATTAACCTTGAACTAAGATCTACACACTTATAACAAATCCATACGAGTGATATCCAAAATAATGTCATGTTCTTAAGTTGGCATTATATATTGATAATATTCATTATAATATTCAAAAAGAAGAAAAGGAAAGAGCTATACAACTATGCTCTTCACTCTTCAAACGCTCCTTCTTTTCCCTTGCCCCTATTGAAGCCTTCACTTATAAAATATAACCACGGGATGAGATAAACATCTCAGTAATTAATATAATTCATTAAATACTTATTACCACAAATAACCATGATAAAGTATCAAAACTATAGTAATATTAAATATATCATATTTACAGATAAGTGCATCTTTTCACAACAATTCTACACAATTTCACACTAGCATGATCATCTAACCATCGAACCTTCAATGCTCCCCGATATGAAATCATAAGCTCTCCTGGATCAACTACTTGTTATCTTGAGCATACCTTCAGTGGTAGAAACACCTGGCCAAAGGTAATCTAACCCACCTGCAAACTATGATTTTTCCCTCTTCACACACTTGTGATAGAGGCGTCGTTGACTCCTAATCGCACCTTAACAGGTACTAGAGAGTTGCCAGACTACCCGGATGTCCTATGATAACAATTTCATATAATATTGCATTAGATGTCCCATGGTGCCAACTCTACCATATGAATTTTTCACTCACATATCTCCACACACACATATCCCCACATATCTCAAGTGAACTCTTACCCCCTATAATTATGTTTTTTCATACTTATCACTGCTTGTCCATATTTCCACTACATTTACTTTTATATCATATATATACATATCCATTGAAATCAATAACTTCTCAAAATTCATTTCACAAACCAGTGTTCATGTTAAAATCATTTTTCAATATCAAATCATACATAAAATCTTTAAACAACAAATTCATCAATTTACATTTACTTCTACATAGTTATAATAGTTAATAAACACAATAAACTATATGGTTATCTCAACCCCTTTGTCACACAAAAAGAGTTACAATGGCTCCATGTTAGCTCCACACATTCTATATGCATAATATGGCTCAAGCAATGCTCAATCAATACAGTCAAGTGATAATCATCAATTATCACTATGGTTAACCCTGAAT